AAACTTCTGAGCCCCACTCTGGACCGCCACAGCAGACACTCCGGGTGCTGGGCCTGAGACCCTGCCTTTTAGGGAACTTCCGGGGACCATCCGACCCACAGGCAGGTTTGGGCACCTCCACTGTGATCCCCTTGAGGCAATGGGGGGCCTGCGGTATTGAGTGTGGGCTGGCAGGAACAGGGAGTTAATTCCAAGGAGGGATGGGCGCGGAGGTGAAACTTCATGGGAGGGTGTGTCTCCATCACTCAAAGACAGCTGGAATGTCACAGGGCTAGGGACAGCGGGAGCAGAGCTCTGGAGGTGGGACGTGAGCATCTAGGGGCAGCCTGTGGCCATGGTGTGAGCAAAGGAAGAGGAAAGGGGGACCAGGTCTGGCATATTCCCGGCCACAGGTGTTGGAGGCCCCTGCCCCGGCAAGGGTTAACCCCAGGTCCTGTCCACTCAACTTCCACCTCCATCCTCCGAGGAAATGGGTTTTCCAGGAGCTTGGGCCGGGCCGTGGTGACTTGTGTGGCTCCACCGGGATGGTAGAGGAAGTGACTCAGGCCCTGGGGGAGAAAGTGAGATGCGGGTGCCCTTCCCCTTCTGCAGAGGGTGGGCAGGGCTAAGTCAGATCCGGAGCCAGAGCCCCCTCGCCCGGGCAGCCCGGAGGTGGGGCCGAGGTGTCTTGGATCACAAGCTCCAGACGCCCGCCTCCCTGCTAAGTCCTTGGGGACCCTTGGTGGTGGCCCCCATTGTGTCAGGCTGGGTCAGCCTGTTCTGTTCTCTGTGTGTTTACGGAAGGCCTGAGGTCAGGCGCGGCTGCTCAGGAAGGGGAGCCGGGGGTGGGTCCCCAGGGGTACTCAGCTCCAGCACCCTCTCTTCTGGGCTGGAATTGTCTGCATTGTCTGTGGTCTTGGTTGTTCTTTATTTTTCACTCCTTTTTGGGGGGTGCTCCCTATTTTCCTAACCTTTTGGGGGACCCCCAAAACCAGGGGAGCTATGTGCTTCTGGAACCTTTATCAATGCTGGCTTGATAAGGAGGGGAGGGGCTGGGACCATCCCTGTATGTTCTAGGGACCCATAAATCGCCCTGCCCAGCCTCAGTCTCCCGATCTGTCAGTGACAGCACAGTAGGTTCTGAGGAGTGGGAGTGTTGATGAGGTCGCGCTCTGTGGCTACTGTGTGTCGTCTCCGGAGTGGCCCCTTCCTGGTGCCACCCGGCTCTGGCCCAGTGCTGTGGGAGGTGGGATGGGGTCTCCTCTGCAGGCCTGTGATTGGTGCTCGGAGGGACCTCAGGGCTGGTGCCGAACAGCTCTGCAGTTTTCATCTCTGGGGCCATAGACAGGTCTCTGAGGCCTGTGCAAAGCTCAAGTCTGAGCTCCTAGTTCTGGGGTTCAGCCTGCAAAGCCAGGCCCCCCTCCCTCCTGCTGGGCTGAGTGATACGGGTTGGGGGCCCAGGCCTTGGGAAGCCCAGCTGGAAATGCTGGGGTGTGGCCTCTGCTAAGATACGGCCTGCGTGTTTGGGCGGGTGGCTGGAAGGTGGCAGGTGTGCATGTGGGAGCGGAGCTGTGGGATGCTCCACTGCCCGCCTCGGCCAGTCTGGGTTGGAACCTTCTCCTTCCCCTGGCAAGGAACCCAGGAGCCCCAGCGTGAGGCTATGTGGAGGGAACTTTTCTGGGTGGGGTTGCAGCCTTAGCATTGCCTCCCGGAAAGGAAGCTTCATGCTCCAAGAATTTCCCCTCAAGGTGTTCTGGGGCTGAGCTGGCTGCTGGGCTGGGGGTGGGGCAGGGAGGCCGCGCACACGGAAGTGGGGGAGTCAGCGCTGCGACAGCCCAGGCGACTGGGTTCAGGACCAGCATGGGGTGGTCATAAGTACGGGCTTATCAGAAAAGTCATGACACACGTTTACAAAGAGACACAGAAAAAACACGCATGCCTTTCCCGACACCCCAATCTATGCAGCTGATGCTGCTTCCATGGTGACCGCCGAGGGCGTGACCCTGGTCGAGGCCCTTCACAGAGAAATCGATTCATTTCATTCTCATGAGGACCCTGGAGCAAGGCTTGATTTGGGTTCCTCTTTCCGTGGAAGGAAACGAGGCCCAGAGAGAGTGAGTAGGTAACCCAAGGACACACAGCTAGCAACTTGGGGAGCTGGGATTTGAACCCAGGCAGTCTTGCTCCAGAGTCCACCCCGCTAACAAAGCCAGGCAGCCTCTCCCCACAAACCTCAAGAATGCTGATGGGGCCCGAGCTGTCCACTTGGGGTAGGTACTCAGCCAGGGTGGTGC